CCTCGTTTTGGGCCCCGGGTTATGGCTTAATAACCTGCACAATCTAATGATTGCGTCACATGCATTGCGCAAATGAGTTGCCCATTTCTTTTGACCCAAATACCTCAATGGTATTCCCTCCTTGAGGAAGGATAAAACGCCGCACTTCCGCCACGATGTATCAGCTCAATCACTTCGCCATATAACAGATCATTATAAATTTTGTCGCAGAACGGCCATGACACGTCGCCCGTCCGCCTATTCTACGTTGAATCTCGCCAATAAGCAAACATTGTGCAGGAAGGCAGCCACAGAGCCATCATGGACACAGTCTCAGCTCACTCAGTAGGCCACACAAGAGTTTCAAACCCACGTAAAGCGCTCCACCCTCCAAAGCATTCTAAAGCGCAAGAGGGACTACGAAGACGTCCCGAATGCTCACTCTCTCCGCAAAAGGTTTTGCACGGCTTCGCAGCGCTCGTCCGACGAGTGTCGTCTCATAACGACGAACCTGTTGAGTTAACTAATGTCGTTGTTCACTAGCTTTCTCCCAACACAACCGCTGCCTTGCAGTCAATTGACCAAGGGATTATTAAAAGTCTCAAGGACCACTACTGTACAAAGAAGCAGGAGGCCGAGCTGGACATGTTTTACAAAGGCGAGAAGTATACCCCCGTCAATATTTTTACAGCGATGAAGTGGTGCTCAGAAGGTTGGCCATCACACTGGTATTGTGTCGAACATGTAATTGAGATTTGTACTTAATTAAGGTAATACAAAGAAGTACATTTGGATTCCATCTGTTCCTCTATATATATTTGCAGCTCGTAGACTCTATATGGCGCAGCGGTCGTTGATATTAACGTTATGTACAGGACACGCATCGCACTTTAGATAGTTGTGCCTACCGTCTTACCCCGCATATAAGGCATATGTGCTGTAAATGAATACAACACTGCTTGTGTGTTATATTCGTTTAGAAAGCCTATGTGTTGTACAACGAACAAATTGTTTGACTTTGAAGAAGCAAGTTTGTGGATCCTGGAATCTGGCTTGCTTGACCCTCCTACGCGATCGGCGTGGGTTTAAACCCGCGTCACATGATGTTGTGATTGGTAGCGGGTCTTTTCTTTCTGTTGTGGCTACGGAGGTTCGCGCCTTTCCGATAGTCTGCTAGAACAGCGAGTATCTCGTGGATACTATAGCTACGTCGCTCAGCACTCATGGCTGTGTAAATTATAAAATAGAAGAATTAAAGCCAAGTAACAGCAGCACCGACAAGTTTGTTCAGAAGGGTGGTTGGTTGGGAGCTCTCAAGAATATTCAATGTTTGGTACAGCCTTGTGTTTTAAGTAGGCTTCAGCCACGTGTGTTCTAATTAGGTAGGTGGTCAAATCGAGGTTCAAGCTAGATGTCGAGCGAACCCCGTATTTTATTTAGAACACATATCCAATTTGCAGGACCTGGGACCAAACATAAGTGGTATGATGACGAGCTCGTTTACTGTGTGATGGAGAGCTCGTCAATTTCCACATAAATAAACCTGGATGTTTGTTTTTTGTTAAAAAAAACACCTGTGTTAAAAGTTTGTTTTATTCTACTGCGCTCCAAGGGGCTCTAGCCTCCGGCCGTTCGCCAATTATATCTCACCAGGGTTTTTGGGGGGGGATCCTGGTCTCTCTGTAGAAAATCTCTCGGGCTGGGTGGAAGAGACCTCACCACACTCATGGGCGAGTGTAGAATAAATGTTATTGTAACCCAAGTAAGCGTCCACACGCAGCGACCAACACCGACAACCGGGCCGACACTAGCAGCGACCGTCACGAGGAGCGACACTGGATCAAGCTGCGTCAATAGTAGGACTGCACAATCAGCTACGTCAGCAGCGGCACCAACTTACATAATCTGCGGCGTAAGTAGCGGTCATGCTTAAACAAAGGGGGAAGACGCTACCGCAGTCCTGTAGTGAAGGACTAGGATGGTAAGCAGTGCTCTTACAATAAAATAAAAAATCGTAATGGGTTTCACAGAAGCACGTAATAATCATTGCAATATACCGATCCACAATAATGAATTATTCAATTATTTTGCTGTATTGCACGGGTCAGGACGGGGCAGTGACCCTATCACGCCACTGGCTTGGGTTCGAAGCAGTGTTGGCTGGTTTTTATTTTTCGGATTTAATGGTTTTATATGGTTTTGGTGTAGAAAACACCAGTGTAAAACCAGTGCACCTGGAGGTTGGTGGTGATTCACTGGACGGAGTGATCCGTTCTCCACCGTCAAAGTAATACTGATACCACATACAACAAGTCTCTATTTCTGAAATACGCACGCTCGACAAGTGTATTTAGCTATCGCACATCGAACACTACACCGTACCGAAGCATGGGCCACCCATCGTGCCAAGAGCGCGACGAGTTCACAGACTTGCATGAAGACGCCGGTAACAACCGGACATACCACATTTGCAACCACTGCAACAATGCGTATCGTGCTTCGCGGTAGCCAGCTGAGGGTAGTTACCGCGCAACACCGCACGAGCCTCCTGTCCCTGAGCCGAAGAGACTTCGAGGGAGGCCGGAAAACTATAGAAGCCATCTCAAGAGCTGTAAATTCTATCAAGCCTATATTCAAACACGCAACTCTGTGGAAGCTGCT